GTATCAGAGTGTTCCATCTCATTTCCCTTTGGGGTTGCTGTAGGTGATCTGGAAGTCTGGTTTTGAGAGTTATTTACGTGTTTTCTCATTTTGACCTGGGGGGCAGGTGGGGGTTGCTATTGGCGCCCATGCGGCTCACCTCCTCTGAGCTGGGAGAGGTGGGACAGGGGCCGGGAGCGGCGGGAGGGATGGTGGCTAGGAAGCCCCTTCCTCTGGACCAGGAGCAGTGGGATATCGGCTCAGAATCCCCTTCCTCTGGGCCGGGAGTGGCGGGACAGATCCAAACAGGTTTCTTAAAGGGCCTACTCCTCAGTAAAGAAATGTCATCTTAGAATATATATGAACACAATTTATAATCTGTTTCTAGTCTGTTGTTTCTTCACAGTATTAATCTGTAATAAAATATTTCTTCTCTTAGAAATCCTAAATTTGAAATTAAGAGATAACTTCAATTAATCCAAAAGACTATATTTCTATAAACTTTTTTGGACAGATTATTATTCAACCTTCAGTCTACATCCCATGAAACTACTCTCATTTGTAAGATCAAATGAGGGCGGATAACCATGGGATCCCTCTCACACGATGTTGCTGAAACTTGAGATAATAATGTATGACAAGTGCTAATCACTAGCTCTGCAAGTGGCTCTTGTCATAGTCAGGAGCACAAGGCTTCCCCGAGGATACTGTGTTTGTCCTTTCTAGTATTTGAGCTTCTCCAGGGGGCACCCACTCAGCAAATGCAGTTAACTGTACTGAAACTTCTGAATTCTTTTCTACTGTTTTAGGTATGACATTAACATGAACTCCAGGATGAGACAGAAGGATTTATTTAGGAACTTATCCGGAGTCAATGAATATTTCCCCCACCATTTCCTTGCTTCTAAGATGTTGCCTTCCTGCTGCCAGCTCCGGACAGGGAAAGGGAGGAAGGGCAAGAGACAGCACCCCCGACCTACAGCCCTTTCCAAAACTAGGGCGCTAAGCACCACTCGGAAGCCATATTTCTTCATCTGGCTGAGTTTATGAGTAAAATTCAACATGAATTTTGGTGAAGACTCTGTTACTCAAAGGACAGGACCAGCCCCTCTTGAAGTCTGCTGCCACAGTATGGCCCAGAGGCCCCACTGCAAATTACCCTGTGAGACAATCTATGGGCTTCAAGACACTTGTCAGGTGGGTCACTGTAGGGGCTTAGAAGTGATTTCCAAGGTGCCATGGACAAAGGCAAAAGGCCTCTGTTCGGGCAAGGCTAGTTTTGTTTGTTTTTTCTCATCTCGCTATGTACTTCAGGTTGGCCTTGAACTCACTGTGTCGCCCAGGCTGGCCTTGAACTTACAGCAATCCTCCTGCCTCAGCCCCCCAAGTGCTGGGATTATAGGCATGCTCCACCACACCTGGCTCTGTTTTATCTCTTTTTGAAAAATATTTTTTCCCTAGTTTAGTAATGTAAATTTATGCTATTTATGTATATTATTATTGTTGATAAGTAAGTTTTTAAAAACAACTAATATAGACAGTGCTAGATCTATAACTTTTTTCTTTTGTGGAATGGAGAACTGAACCTAGGGCCTGGAGCATGCTAGGCAAACACTCAACCTCTGAGCTACATCCCCAGCCCTTTTATTATTATTTTCATTTTAAGGCAGGGTCTTGCTAAGTTGCCTAGGCTGTCTTTGTACTTTTGATCTTCCTGCCTCAGCCACCCACGTAGCTGGGATTACAGGTGTATGCTACCATACCCAACTGTGTTCAGAAATATTTTAATGAAAAATTTAGTAATGAAAGCAGTCCACTCATGTACCATAAATTCCATTTAGTTTTGTTTGTTTGTTTTTCGGTTTTTGAGACAGGGTCTCAGTTTGTAGCCCGGGCTGGCCTCAAACTCATGGTGATCCTTCTGCCTCAGACTCCCGAGTGCTGGAATTATAGGCATATGCCACCATAACTGGCTTCCGTTTAGTTTTCTAAAAAAAACTACACAAATAGCATCTCTCATACATCATTTTGCAAGTAAATTGTTCTTTCTCAGACATTTGGCAGATATTTTGCATGTGTCAATTAAATGTCAACATAGTAATACAGCACTGAATTAGACTATGGACATAATTACAATTGGAATTATAGTTGGAAGGTAGCAGTAAAGTGTATTTCAATTGGCCTCAGGATGGGAATTCAGCTCCATGTTCTGCTATGGCCAAGCTGTGTGGCTTTGGGAAATTCACATAACTGCTTTGGCCTTCAGTTTCCTTTTCTGCAAAATAAAGAGGTTCAAGCAGACCTCTAAAATCCCTTCCTATTCTGACACTCTGCTAGTCTCCGAATTAGTCATATGGTAACGAGGAGACTGGAAAAGATCACCAACTTGCAAAGAAGCACCGTGTCTCGTCTTTGAAGCTCCTCAGCATTGAGGGTGAATGCTCAACTCCTCCCCCACCAAGCCTCTGCCAGGGCCCACTCCGCCACTCTCTCCTACAGTGGCTTAAAGCGTCAGTAAAAGTCTGCTGAGAAGCACAAGTCATGAGGAGACTGCAGAGTCCACAGAGGGACTTGGAGGCTATACATATACTTTCTATATTTATACTGCATTTGTAAGTTTTGTTTATGTGAAAATCCCAATGACTGGTTTGTTTCCCCAAATATACCCCTCCCTCCCTGAACCAACATAACTACTTCTTACATAACATTTCACAGGTGTTTGTTACATGTGTATGCCCTCTTAAAACATATCTATTTCTTACTTTACTTGATTTTAAGTTTGTAAAATGGTATCACATGGAAGCTTAATTTTCGGAACGTGCTCTTTTCCCTTAATAGCATTTAACCACATCTATAACATACACTGGTGCCAAACTAGGAGTGATATCATTGGTCATAAGAATATATGTTAAACACATACATACTAGAATTAGTGAGTAGAAAATGTCTCTAATCATATACCAGAAATCTGAGCTTCAGGTAGTTAGCCAGGAGAAGGGTTTAGTCTACACAGGCATAATAAAAGGAAATGAAAATAGTTTCTGTAAAATTATCCCATCAATGAATTTCTAGATAGACCTTACCTTTTTTCAAAGGAGCAAATAATTTATAATTCTATTTCCTCTCATATGAAATAATTCTGCCCCCAATAGAATAGTATTCCTGGGTCCTTTATTTGTGGCAACAATATGAAAGGGTATAGCCACTAGATGGCTGCCTTTCTTCTAACTTGTATAATTGTCTTGGCAAAGGTTCTACTTTTGAGTAAATATGTCCTTTGAATGGCTTATTTATTTTTACTAAAACTGCTTTCATGACAGTTATTCAAACTTACAACCACTTCATACTGCTAGGTTGGCATTTTAAAAGGGATAAATGAAACAAAGCAAATGTCACTGCAAATAAATGGGAAGTGAAGGTGAGTTGAAAATGACTAGGAACTTCTACTGTGCTTTATTGCCTAATCTCTTACCATATGTAAGCAAGCGCCCAGTGCCAGTTTTTCCTGATGGAAAAGCCCTGGACCTGGAGTCTGGAGCCACACATTCGTTGTTTTGGCTTTGATGCCATTCATTAGTTCCCACCTTCCTTTCACTCTGGTGCAATCCCTTCCCCACTCCACTTCTGTGATTTAGTTGGAGTTGACTGTCTGCATTGCAAGCCTGGCCAGGCAGAGCACATCTCCCTCTGGCAACAGTGATTGGTTAAGGAATAAACAAACGGTGCAAGCCACATCAACAAGAACTCATTTCTAGCACTTTTTTGGTGGAGGGCCTGTGGTGCCTACAATGCCTCTATTTCCTCACTCTCCAGAGACAATCTCCTGCATATATAGTACTGGGGATTGAACTCAGGACCTTGCACGTGCGAGGCAGGGGTGGCATCATTGAGCTAAATCCCCAGCCCATCTCCTGCTAATATTTATATTTGGTGTTTATGCTTCCATGTTTTTCTATGTAAATGTTTTTCCAGAATTTCTATGCTTTTGTATATTCTTTCACATGGCTGGCTGAGCAGGAGATCCAGGGGTACAGTCAGCACCCCATGTCAGTGCTCTGGATCCGTGGATGCAACCAACCTTGGGTAAAAAATATTTGAAAAGAATTTGCATCTGTACTGAACATCACAGACTTTTCCCTTTCATCCCCTAAACAATACAGTGTAACAACTATTTACATAGTGGTTACATTGTATTAGGGCTTACAGGCCATCTAGGCACAGTTTAAAGGGTACAGGCAGATGTGTGTAAGTTAGGTGAAAATATGATACCATTTTCTATAGGGGGCTTGAGCACTTGTGGGTTTTGGTGTCTTTGAGGGCCTGGAACCCCTGGGGACAGCAAAGGATGACTGAGTTCCATTAGCTCACTTTTTCTTTTTAAAAACATAGGAGAATTATAATGTCTATAAAGCCATAATCCCTCTGTTGAGTCCTGCAGTGGTATGTTCAAAAGAATGAATTCTAACTAGCCAAGGTAGTTGGAAAAGAATCTTAACTGTATTTTAATTTCTAAAACTATGAAAAGCATTAACAGTCTCCAGCAATGTTTCTATAAAATCCTTCCCTTCCTGATCTATGCCATCCAATGTCTATGCACAATGGAACTTACTTAAGCTCCTCTTTTTTTTTTTTGGTACTGGGGATCGAACTCAGGACCTTGTGCAAGCAATCCCCTGCCCTCTATGCTCCTCTTCTCAAAGAAAAGAAAATCAACTCCTGTTCCCACTCGAGTCCTTTCTTCTCTGGCTTTTCTGTCCCTCTTTTTTACCCTGGATTGTCCACCATAGGCCCAGGTTCCAGGCTGGATGGACAGGGCCTTCTTAGGGGCAAGAGGAGGAAAAGGGCTGAAGTAAGCTAGTGAGGTCTTCTGTGAGTACAAAGGAGGACAAACATCCAGAACCCAGCACATTATGAATTTTTATCCCGTAACATTTCTCCCTTGGCCAGTATTATTAACCCCAGGAGAAATACTAAAAATGTAAACGAGCCCTATGAGACCTCTCGTCCTCTGGAGTCTAGTCCTTCCCCTTTCTGTCTTCTCTCTTTCAGAAGCCCCGGAGGGGTGAGCTGGTGGGAGTGGGGCCCTCTGCAAGCACAGACCCTGCTGAGGTGGAAGTCCGAGTGCTGGTCTCCCGAATGTCAGGACACGGAGCCAAGGAAAAAGCAGGTACTTAGTCCTTGTCCTCAGCAGGTGGCACATAGCTCTGCCAATTGTAGGAGCCAGTCAGCCTTTGCAGTCCAACCATGGCCCAGCCTCCAGCCACCTCCATGCTGGCCTTGGGGATCTATGACCACCCGGGGGAGCAGTTCTTCAGCTGTGGAGAAGCCACCTGCAGGGCCTACAGCCCAGGGAGGGCTGTGCAGGCTGCACCCCCATCTTCCAAAGGAGTCGCTGGATTTCAGGTCAGAGCTTTATTAGTGAAGCAGACACAGAGGTGGCGATTTGTCCTGGATTACCAGTATGGGTTCCAGAGCCAAATGCCTGGGTTGGCGTCCAGTTCCGCCACTTGGGGTCGCAGGATCTTAGCACATCTCTACCCCTTTGACTCGTTTCCTTCTACAAAATCAGCATAGTAATGGCAGTTCCTACCGCAAGGGAGTGGGTGAAGCATGTGTAAAGTGCCTGGCACAGAATAAGTATGAGATGAAGGCCTGTTACCGTGGATATTACCCTATTCCCCGCAGTGTCCAGGGAAGCCCGTCTCTGTCCCTGGGAAAGCCACCAGCAGCAGTGAAGGCACCAGGGCTCTTCAGGAGGCACCCACTCTGCCGCCTGCCACCCTTTATGGATGGTGAGTGCTGCGCCAGCCTTGCTGCGATGCACCTGGCCTGCAGTAGCCGTTGTCCGATACTCCTGGCACAGTTCACTTTGAACTGATTATTTTAGTTGGTGGTGAGAAGCGGATACTGCTCACCTGGCCACCGTGTTGCTTATGAATCTGGACGCTGGCCAACCACCAAAACCCAGCTCCCTGGATGAACCCGTGCAAGAGCATCCAGTTTGCCAGAAATCAGTCTGTTCAGTTTATGGACTTACTGTTTCTTGAAAACCAACCTATCCAAAATCAAACCACAAGTCGAATACAAACTTCTGGGGAGGTGAGGCTGCTGTGTAGAATTTTTTAAGGTACACAGATTATGCTCCCACCAGGCCTAAGAGGTGGCACAGGGTGTGGGCTTCACCCAGGCTTGCTGATGGCCCCCATGCCCAGCCAAGACCCAGAAGAAAACTAGCTCTGGTGCTGAGTCCACAGCCTGCCCGAGGAGCTGCCATACTTCTAGCCGTGTGGAAAGGCAGGAGGATAGTTCTGCCTTGCCTGCCGGCTGCTGGCCTCTCCTGTGGAGACTGTGCATCATGAGAGTGGACTGAGAAGCAATTTCCAGTTGGCAGTGTTCCCAAAGAGGGCGCGTTATTGCCTTCATTCTATTTCAGCTTCCTCTCCGCGTTTCTCAGTTCCGTGGCCTAGGAGCGTGGTCTGTCCCCGTGCGCGTGGTCTTCCAGAGCCCTCGCAGAAAACCTCAAGGCTTTTGCCCCGTTGTGCTCACAGCCCACAGCAGGGAGCGTTCACCCCAGCAGAGCCGGTCCCAGCCAGATCCTGACTGGCGGAGGGAATCCTCCAGTGCGCTGTCCTGCTAGAAGGCACGCGTGTGTGGAAAGGCCTCTGGGCCGAGGGCAACTCTCTGCTCATTGCATGAGGGTTTTACCAGGGAGAAGTGTTGGGGAGAACGGAGGAGCCCAAGGTCAAGGGCACGGGCATCTGCAGTCACCCTCGGAGTGGAGTCCGGACGCCCCTGACCCTTCCTCCAGCAGGAGGTGAGTCTCACACTGCCTGCTGCAGAAGGGATCGCCAGGACCTTCCTGCTCTGTGACACGGGGTGGCAGTAGAGGCCCGGGAACTGCTCCTGGCTAGAGCAGCCATGGGAAGCCGGCACTTCTCGTGTCTCTTCTAGTCCAGAGGGAACAGGCCGGCTTGTGCTGGATTTTGAGGAGACGCCTTATGGTTTCACGAAGCAGTTGGAGGGGACACGGCTCAGGGTTTTCACTGGGATTGGTTTAAAAGTGCATTACGGGATACTCTTCTGTTTGGAGATTTGAGAGGAGTCATGACTAACAAAGGCCTGGCAGGAACAAAGGTATGTGCTTTCCTGTCACTGGGAGAAAGAATCTAATTGAAAAGCTTTCTCGATTTGCTGATTTGCAAGTCATTGTGACTGAGACAATTTCCATGTGCCTCAGCACTGGTGTTAAATTGTCTAATTTTATAGTACATTCTTTAACCCAGGAGTTGTTAAAAAGGCCTCATAAAATTGTCTCCAACGGTATGCAACTCCAATTAGCACTTATAAATAAGGTTCCCATTGTGAGTATTGCAGTAAAATATTTTATTTGAATATGTGAAATTGGCTATGTTACTGATAGAATTCAAACTTTAATTTTTCTTTGAATACTGCATTTCCCTTTGTGAGTTCTTTCAAACTCAATCTAAAGTATAAAGTCTATTCTCTATTATTTGGGAATGGGTTAACCAATTTTTCAGATGAAACATTGCATAAGGCCAAGGCGGGCTCCAAGAAGCATTCATTTTACCTGTGGAAATCACTTCTCAGGAGGTGGTGGTGACTTAAATAACAGAGGTTTGTTGTTCACAGTTTTGGGCGCTGGGAAGCCCAGGCTCAGGGTTGCCGCAGACTCAGGTTCTGGTGAGGCTGCTTTCTGGTTTGCAGGTGGAGACGGCCTTTTTCTTGCTGTGTCCTCACATGCCAGAGAGGGAGGGAGGGAGAGGGAGAGGAAGAAGAAGAGGAAGAAAGAGGGAGGAGGGGTGGATGATGAGAAGGAGAGAGGGAGGGAGATCTTTCCATTCCTGTTAGAAAATCATTGCATCACAATGGCCCGTGCTCAGAACCTCACCTGACCCCAATGATGTCCCAAAGGTCCCCAAACGCCATCAGTTAGGGCTTCTACACATGAACCTGGGGAGAGGGAGCGTCAACAAACATTCAGCCCACACTGAAGGGAAACACCAAGGTCCATTCTCATGCTGTAGGCTGAGCTGTAACTCCCCAAATTCATATGTTGAAGTCCTAACACGTGGGAGCTCAGAATGAGACTCATTGTAGAGAGTATCTTTAAAAAGGCAATTGGGATAAAGTGAAGTCATTAGGAAGGGCCCTAACCCAAGCCAGCTGGCGTCCTCGGCAGACACGGGCTGTGGGCTGAGTCCCGGGCACACCTGAGCACAGGGCAGGGACCCAACGAGGGGCCCTGGGAGCAGGGATGTAAGCTGTGGTACAGGTGGAAGTTGGGCAGGCCGGTGAGAAGGGGAGTTCGGAGGGACCAGAGGTAAAGCAGAATGAGGACTGGACAGAAAGTAGCAGCACATGGAGGCATGACCTGGCTTTGTTTCCAGGAGGGCTGTACATTAGTGCTGTGTATGGTCTCTACCGTGTTTTAGGAAATCCACAGAGTCAAAGGGGTTTGGCCTGGCCCAGCTCCCCTGTTGGAGCTGACCAGAAGCCCTCTAGGCCTCCAGGAAAGTGGCCCCCACTGTCAGGACTTATCACTGTACATTGGTTGCCTGGGCTCAAGGCTGTCATTGCTTTGATGGTGCAATTGATTGGCATCCTCTCCCATCTGATCATTAACAGATGCTTGCAAGTCTTAAAAACAAAACCAAACAATGACAACAAATCCCAAGTACTTGTCATGTACCAGGTGGTTTGCTAGGGGTTGGATGTATAAATGTGAACACGGCATCACTCATCAACGATAAGAATTTTATTGTTAGCAGACAGGGACTCCAGGTCTTTAGGGGACCTTTGTTGACTGCCACAATCCACCTTCTCATGGAAGCCAGAATGGACTGGATCACGAGTTGTGTCTGAGCCAGAGCTGGCTCTCCTGGCTCTGCTCACCACAAGTGATTCTGACCTCCTAAGGGGAACACTTGGTGCTTACCTCTCTGTCCTGTATAACACACACCACACGACATATTCTGTCATTGTGTCAATGTCATTGTCTGTTTTCTTTCATTGGATTAAACTTCCTTAAAGATTGGGGAAGAAGCTAGCTTGTTCACTTCTTAGAGTGCCTAGCATGTAATAGATGACTTTAGCACTTGTTGGATAAACAATGAAAGAGCCAAATTGAAGAAATTTTGGCCATGAAATCTGGATGAGGGAGGACCCTGGATGTGGAATTTCTGTTTCCACCCAGCATTCAGGCATATGGGAAGCTGAATGAGGATGAGCATGTTGGCATTAAAAAAGTCAAGACATGCTATGTTGTACCAAGTTGAAGGTGTTTGAGTGGAGAAGCTGTAATCTAGGGATCTTCATTTTGCTGTTACTCTGCAGCTCCTCCATGTCAGCAAGTGAGACTTTCTGAAGGGCTGGTTGGAGAGCAGTCACATTGCAAACTGATGTCAGGGAAGGGGTGGGAGAACAGGCAGGACCACCAACACGACTTCCAAGTTGTAGCTAATAACTGCGGGAAGGATGGAGGGCTAGGAGGAGTGGGGCAGGGGCCATAAGGGAGACATAGCATCATAAAGCATTAAAATAAATGGAGAGAACAAATAGATACCCGGGGGAAAGAAGGATCCTGAAGGAGGTAGGTAGATGTCAAATGGCAGCCTGATCTATTGCACAGTTTGTAGCAAGGCATGAAAAATAAACTATTTTAATAAGGATTTCCACCTCCAAAACACAAATAATGTACACATGGTTAGGTCTGCTTTTGAAACAAAAGAAATCATTTGCATTGCATTGCATTCATTCATTCTGTCAATAAGTGTTTATTTAGGGCATAGAATGGGGCTGGACCATGGACCGGGCTCCTGCATACTAGCAGGAGACGAGCAGGCACTTTGTGAGAAGTTATAATAACTGGGGAAGTTTGCTGCTGCTGTATTAGAGTGTGAGCAAAGGGGTATGGGGGCCCAGGGAAGGTCCGACTGAGGCATATCGAGCTCAAAGCTGAAACTCCTGCAGAAGTGCGAATGAGAACCATCTTCCTGGTTGTGTTGATAGCTATGAGTCAAGAAGTGATGATGAAAATACCTAGGTGCTCTTTCACAGAAAGCTAAATCTATACCATTCCACATGAAGAACCAGGGACAGGTGTATATTTAGTGAATGTCAGAAAAACAATTGTTCAATGCCATGACTATTCACTTCACATCTCAAGTACCCTGAATATATATCCTCATTCAGCTATTACCTCACAAGCTTTCAACCCAGTATTTGAATAAAATATCAAATATGTAAGCACAGGTGAACTCAGACATTAATTTTGAAAATATTTACCATGAAATCTGAAATACAATAATGCTTTCTCATCCTTCTCCTTTTGTGTGGCACTGGAGATTCAATGCAGGGCCTTTGTACTGAGCAATACCCCCAGCCCTTTTCTTATTTTTTCAAATTTGGAGCCAAGGTCTTGCTAATTTGCTAAGTTGCCCCATTGGGCTGGAATTTGTGATCCTCCTCAGCCTCCCAGAGTGCTGCTTTGCTCTTTAAAAGATCCCCAGTTACAGATAAGTGCATGGCATCCAGCTAGAGATGGAGGGACTCAGAGCCTCACTGAATCCATGCAGTGAGCTCTTTGTTTCCCCAAGACTTTTTCCTGGAATTTCTGTCACTTAGGTGGACTCCACCTCCCAGAACCGCCACTAAAAAGTTTGCAAAACATAAAAGAACTGAATATCTCCTGTTCTTCCTTTCTAAAAATCTTCCATTGTTCTGAATCCCAAGTTAGGTATGATAATGAGAATGTTCCTGAGGGTAATAATAGTCGGGGAGCAAGGAAACCTTTGGCTGCAGTGAAGATGCAACCACAGCAGTAATAACCGGAGTCAGGCGTGATCACAGTGCAGTAATTAAGGAGACAAATGTGATGAGGAACACTGTCCTCACAGGCTGACAGCCACACCGACAGAACCTCCGGGAGGGCAGCTGAGTATCTGAGTCTCTCTGCTAACAAATGATCTTTCCCCATCCTTCCAGCCCATAAGAAGAACATTAAGAAACCAAATGCAGCATAGTATAAAATATTTTCTTAGATGCTGAGATAGACATATTTTATTGAGTTTTATTAAAAACAAACATATTATTAACTGAAGCAGTCTTTAAAAACATGCAAAGCCCTAATCTCTTTCAGGACCCAGACAAGTACAGTTGTACTAGGATATTATTTATGGTCCTTCATTCTCAGGTTAGAAGAAGTTTTTGAAACCCTAATTAGCTAAAGACTCAAATTTCCCCCAAGAATTATCTTGTTTCCCATCCTGTGAGTATCGTAAGGGCATAGATAGAAGACTTAAAACTCTTTGGCCACGAAGATTTGGCATAGGAAGCAGAACATACAATTAACGGTGTGAGCAGCATGCAATATACTCGAGCAAGCACAGCCAACATTTCAACAATTGTTCATTGCTCATAGATGCAATTTGGAACAGTGGGGTGGCTCTAACCCCTCCCAGACAATGTTTGGAATATGAATAAATTAGTGGGTAGCAAGCAGTTTGCTGCAATCAACTGCTCCTTCACCAAAAATTCAGAAAATATTTTCACAAGGTTTTTGTGGATGGTTGAAATTTATTTACCCACTTGTTTCATCATGGAAATCTCAAGAATTGTTCAACCTTCAGTAATCTTGGAATCTCCTAAAATTAGCTGTGAATTTTTCTTATATGTGTATATATCCATTTTTATTTTTTCTGAGAAGAGAGTCAAATAGCTTTAATCACATTCTCCATTATCAAAAATCAGTGCCAAAAGGACTCAGTGGAGTGTATGGTCAACAACAAAGAAGGGATTCTGTTGGATTTCAAACAATAAATAAGAGGAAAACTGATCTGACAAAGTGGATTGCAGCTCTGTCCAGCCTGCTCATAACCCTGATGACCAGAACAACAGTTACAGCGAGGGTAAAGTTTTACCTGCTGGTTGCTGGAGCCCCCCAGTAGCCCTTAGCAGGAGTTTTGCTGGAAGCATCTCACAGTCCAGGAGACCTTGCTGCTTTGTTAGAGAGGGAAGCTAAGAGCCATCTCACTCATGGGTGCAGGGCACATCCACAGAGCTGCAGTCTCAGAGTGGGTGGGCAGGCTCTCCAAGCATACCCAGGGGCTGGAAACCCCAGTACAGGAAAATTCAGCCATTTCTCCCTCCATAACGCGGCTGTTGATTAGTTCTTTACTGTTTTCACATCTGGCTATTATGAAAATGGAAAAGAAATATTAGAAGACCTTTGAAAGAAAACAGGAATGTACAGTCAGAGATGAACAAGGATACCGAAAGAGGCTTCCTATAGGACAACAAACATCATTGAAGTATTTAATAAATCCCAAGCCAATCATAAATCCATGTCTGCATGACTTTCATGTGTATCAGGAAGGATTAGAAGCCACTCTTTAAATCCTGTCCAGCCCCTGTGATTATGCATTTCATGTGCTGTGTTTTGGTGCTAACTCTGTAGCTACATCTTGCTGTAGCATCAGAAACAATGCCTCAAGTAAACTGGTTTGCTTTTTGCCGTGGTCCAAAAGGAGCCTGGGGGTCATGGCAATGGATCAGTGCTTTGTCTGTCCCAGTGTTCACTGCACTTCCTGTCTGCTGCCTTTCCTAAACCCTAAAGATCACCATAAAAACGTGTTAGCTTTCCTTATCTTATACAAACTCACTTTAAAAACACCCATATTCTTATCTTGTATCATATCTGGAATAATGAATATCACCATTGTTTATGTCATAGAAAAGTATTTTCATAACTCCTTTAAAAAATCTAAACCTCTTTCCTTTAGCAGATTTGCAGGCTAATCATTCAAATATTTTTCTATCATTTATCTTTCAGACTGGTGTGTCCTGATCCCAGCCTGTGATGGTTCACAAGCCCATCTCTCTCTTCTTGATTGTTTAGCCTTGGCCCTTGCAGGTCTGCTGTGCCTCTCCTGAGACTGGGCATGCAGAGGTTCCTAGGGCTCTCCACCACTCACCCTGGTCTCCTTCCGACTGAGCCAAGGTGTGCAGGGTGGCCCTTGCCCACATGACAAAGTGGGTGGAAGGGACACCCTAGCTTCCTTTCTCAGGGTACCTTCCAGGTCAGTAGTTTATGACTGCATGATTTTCCTAGTTGTGACTTATCTTTAGCGTTTCCTATTTTTATTTTATTAATTCTTAAGTAGTTTCCGTGTCTGGGATGAGTACATGGATAATCCTTGTACTTTACATGGTTCTGCTGAGGTAGAATAGTATTTGCCGGGTTTGGTTCTTTAAGAATCAGCTAAATGCAAGCCACAGAAATGAGGAGACTATTTGTGATTATTTGTCATCTTTCAGAATCTATTCCCCCAATTATGATGAGCTGGTTGGAGACTGAGTGGGCACAGATGCACAGAAACCTGAGACTGGTCTCTGTCTGTTTTCCAGAGAGAGTTAATCATTTCCTCCTTTCAAAGGAACTATTATTTGCTAAAAATAATACTGTACAGAGGAGACTGTTCCCTTGAGACATAAGGTGTTGGTGGGGGAAGGAGGTCCTAGATTTATGAAAAGACTGGGGAGTGGAAAGAGGGCCCAACAGTGAACTTAGCATGTGGAAGCCCAAACTCCAGGGTGACTGCCTGGGGAGAAGGGTTTTAGAGAGGTAATTAAGGTTATGTGAGGTCAGAGCCCCTTGTCTGATGGGAGTCTTTTTCTCTTTCTCTCACATAAGCACACAATGGGAGGCAGCCATGTGCAAGCCAGGAAGAAAACCCTCACCAGAAACCAACCCGGTGATGCTTTGATCTTGGACTTTCAGCCTCCAGAACTGTGTGTCTGTTGTTAGGCAACCTTTATTTAGTCATGGTGACTTCCTATTTCCCCAGCTCAGAATCAGGCACATCATTGTAGTGGTGGGGCAACCTTGCTGAACTCAGTTTGTCTTCTAGGCACATACCCTCCAAAACTCCCTTAGCATTCTAAAGGCCATCCTTTGGAACACTGGTCATGCTCACAAACACTTCTGGATTCTTCTTATTTTTCCTCAAACTGCATTCTCTTGTAGATGGCAGATGGCAATCCTGGGAATGGACCTACAGACTTGTGCATCTCAGTTCATGTGCAGGATTAGTAGTGATTTATGACTTATTTATTACTTACAAGGGGCATCACAGGCTGGGTCTTCTCTGTAGCCCCTACAGAGGCCTCACTCAGCAGATCTCCACACGTTACGCGCAAAGTCCTAACCGTAGTGGCTTTTGGCTGTTCTTCAAAGCACTCACATATAGCAGCACATGGTTGTGCATCTAGAAATTTTCAAATCATCCCTTCCTAGATAGGAACAGGAAGGCACCAGCGACACAGGGGTCTAGCCAGTGGCATGCTGTGTTCTTACTGAACCTGTTTAAAAAGGTAATTATCTCTAGAAATAACTGTATTCATTACCAGATTTTAAAATGTACAGCTTACCCCCTCTAGCCATGGGACTCTTAAATCTGTGTTTTGATTTGTGAAAAATGATCTCAAATAAATATTGTGAACATTAAATGAAATAATATATGATTGTAAACATTATAAAAAGATATACCAATTGCTTTATTTTTCAAAAGTCAGAATTAGTAGTATATAAAGTCAAAAATCAAATAAATGAACTCTAGAAACTCCTATGATACATGTTTAAAAAAGACAAAACAATCACTAGGAAAAATCTTTGATCTAAGATAAGTGTTCTTTTGGTCTCCAAAGTATATTATTTTCCTCTGATTATGTTAATGAAAGAAGATTACTTTTAATAATATAAAATCGAGATATTTTGAGCTTCCATTAATTTGTATTTTAAGCTTGCTTCTGGCACTAAGAAGAAAAAAATTCTAAGTTTTGTTTATGAAGAGGGATATACAGCCCCAACCTTGTAAATTTATTCAGTATTTGCATTTTATTAAAACAATTTAGACCGTCTGTACCACAAATGTACAGATATACTTATCTAAAGAGATATTGGCATTCTATGTAAGATTCACGTTGAGAATATTTACCTTCTTCAATCAAGTGAAAATGTTTATAAATACAGAACTGCTTATTTGTGACATATGAGCAAAAATATTATCCATTATTTCCGTGTATTTGTAGAACTGCTTACACCGGGCCCCAATGTGCCTTCTGCTGGCTGTCTCACGCAGTTCTTGCTCATGGCTTTGGCATACAGGTGCAGCCCAGGGCTCAAATGGGTGCTGCTCTTTGAGGTACGAGGCGGGGGCTGAGTCTGGAGGGGAGAGATGCGGGTTCAGACCAACTGGTCATTAATCATAGAACTGTAAGCAGTTTTATCCTTGAAGGCCTATTTCTTCATTTGCAGAAAGTTATTTCACAGAGGCGTTTGTTCAGTCACTTTCCTCATTGCTGGGACTCAATACCCACTACTGCAAATTAAGGGGGAGAGGGTTTGGCCCACAGTCACCTGCTCAGAGGCAGAGCAACATGGCAGAGGGCCTGGAGGAGGAGAGGCGCTCCTCGCACGGCGTCCGGGAAGCAGAGTGCGAAGGCAGAAGCTGTAGGGGGATAACCTCTCCAGCCCCTCCACCAATGGCCACCTCTTCCTACCAGGTCCTACCCCTCAGAGCAAGTCGACTTGGGAACGGAGTTCAAATCCTTTACAGGGCATCAGACGAGGACAGAAAGAACGACTCCAGGGAAGGAGCTCTTGTCCATCAGAGGGAAGCACACCCGTCCAGGCGTCTGGCACAGCCGGACTCATTTGTTTCAGGAGACTTTCCCTTTGTAAAGCTGACTTGCAGACTGATATTCATAGGTTCATTTTATTGGTCATATGTACTCTATGAAGTTAAGAACAATTTTGCCCTCTCTAATCCACACTTCTATGCCTGGGCTCATTTTACCTTTCTAATCATTTCATATATGCAAATATTTTTTGCTGATTTAAACACAGAAGTCCACATTTAGCACATTTATTCCAGGCATTTTGTCCATGAGGGAACTTATCATCCCCAACTATTTATTTTTTGTATATCCTTGTATTGGTACATTTTAGGTGTGCAATATAGTGACATTCATCATTGGAAATTTGCACCTTTACATATCTTGGATCTTATTTTCCCCCCTTCCCCTGCCCTCCCTTCAGCCCCTCCCTCCCTCCCTATTTACAAAGACTTTGTTTCCATTTTTTCATTTTCTCATATTAATTCCATTCC